AATCAGTGGCTAACTGCAAGCATTGCAAAGCAATCACTAGCCTGCTATTCAGTGGAGTGGGTGTGTGGTTCCAATTCTGGGTTTAAGTGTATCTTTTCCAAGCTTAAAATGATAAACATTCAACATTGGCCATGCTGTAAATACAGCATGAGTTCTGCTGCGCTCAAAACAACTGTTAACTTGGAACTGGGAAATCTGACTTCAGTGAGTTCAAGACAACTGGGAACTCGTGAAAGAATGAGCTCCGACTGGGAAAATACATTTTGAACGGTCATCCAACTCGGAATTGTAAATCGGGAACTCGGGCCTATTTCTAGAGCTACGACCTGAAGATCACTGACGTCATCATGATTCGACCTTGTTTTTTTCAGAGTTCCCAGTTGTCTTGAAAGAACCATAAATCCAGAGAATGCCAGACTTTGATGACAAAATTTGTATTGTATTCTGCTGCATAAATTATGTAATATGCCAGGGAGATATGTATACTGTGTATGTTGTGTAGTAAACTGTTAGTAGCCCATGTGCCTCACCCTAATAATTTGGTCCCTTTCACCCTCATAACTTAGCCTACTGTTCTGACTTGGTGGTGCACATGTAGCCTATAACCTGTTTTAGAGAAATGTAATTATCGAATATTGTGAGAGCTTTCATTGTCTGCTTTATTTATCCTACGGTTCTGATTTGGTGTACAGGGAGAACACTGTAAGAATGGCCCATGTTTTGAATTCTGTCGCTGTACATTTCAAAAGTGCTAAACAAATATTTATATTGACTACGTCCATCCTAGCTCGCTCATTAATGTCTTAATCGAAATTACGGATTGCCTCTTATCCGCTTGTTGTCCCCTTATACCATAGTTTGTACATCTCAATTGTCAGTAGAAACCTCATTTGTTTAAGCAAGTCAGCAATATCAGCTGTGTTTTTTTTAAAGGCAGTAAATGAGGTTGAATGAACTGTTTCGCTGCCAGACAAGGCTCCACTGATAGCCAGGTGTAGCAGTGGTAAGGTGTTGGGACTGCTATTGGGACTCTGCTGTTAGGACAGCTATATGTAGGCCCTAACAGTTTGTGGGCACCGTTTGTCACCGTTATAGTGCAATTAATGTACCGTATTATTTAGTGTTGTGTTGTGTATTGGCTTTGCTGGCATGCATTCCCACAATTATTGTTTTGTTTGCCCCACCAAGATTTACATGCTAAAATCGCCACTGGGTACAGGTATGTCAGTGGAATTACAAGAAGGGGTTCAATTGGGTGGGAGCGTATGTCTGGATTAGGGACATGACAATTATAGTTTAGTATAAAGATTTATGATGATGAATGATCCTCAACGAGCCAACATCTATAGTTCTACCATCCTAAAAAAACACATTCAACTTGTGTAATAGCCACACTCACAAAAGCACAACTCAGGACAAGGAGCTTTTCTATCTCAGAATACAGCATTATTCTCATACAATATATTCACAACATTTTGCTATTTACTGCTCTTGCTATTTCCCCTCACAAAGGATGAGGTTTCACTGAAAAACATGATACACATTTCTTGCCTGGTTCTCACAGTTGGGGGAGGCTGGCAAAACCTGTCTTATGCAACTGGGTGCTACAGGTCTCCCCATCTTGTATACCCCTAAAGCCCCCATTGCCACTGTAATTCTGTAAGGGTATCATGAATGGTGTGAGAGAGCGATTGAAAACAGTCTTTCTTTACACCGAACTCCTTCCCTTCCACTATAAAGGAGAATCCTTCCGTATATTGGGTTGTGCAGAGACACCATGACTGGAGGGTGCACTACAATTGCCTATTACTTCCTGGTGTATGAGACAGTTGAGATGACATGGGAATAGGCAAATCTCCACATGCACACATCTTCCCCTGTCTCCCCCAATGGCAGACACACACACACACACACACGCACACACACACAAACAAACAAACAAACACACAGACAAACACACACACACACTCTCTCTCTCGGCTGATGGCGAGCCAAGGTGTAAAATAGGGACCTTGTAGCAGTCGTAAGGACAAAGATTCAGCAGGTGGCAGGCAGGTAGAGGTGTAAATGGTGGTTGAATTTATTTACACAGCGCTGGTGATTATGGTGATAAATGTATAATTCAATTATATATACAAAGTTCTAGACTTCAAACTGACTATTCTAAATAAAAAGCTTCTTATACGCCAAAACCTGTACTAACCATACAAGTCACAGGTTGGGTCTACCTTGCCAGAAAATTCCGACCCTACCGTTATGCTTGTTTACTCTGAGCTGCACTGGAGTTGGAAATCAATTACATTTTAGTCATTTAGCAGACGCTCTTATCCAGAGCGACTTACAGTATTGAATCCATACATTTTTCATATTTTCAATCATGATTACATTAAGACACTGTAGAGCCGGCGCGAGATATGGGTTGGAAAACGTACCTCAATGCAGGTATGGGATACACTGTACTCCAAATTGTACCTTTATCCACACTGCTCCATTGAGAAGATTGAAATACTGTTAGTTTTCTCTGAAAACTGCCCTTTTCGTCCTCATGCTAGCTAGCATTAGCCACAGCAGCCATTCTGGAATGGTACTTTCACACATCATTGGACAAGGCGGAGAAACCAGATATGTGCTCCAAGCAAAAGACAACAAAGCACTTGACATATAACTGGTAAATAGAGTTAAATAAACCAAAGCTTCTTTATAACAAGTGGTGTGCAGTTTGTGAGCTCTTCAAACAACTTCTAGAATGAGAAATGTAGGCTATGCATGTAATAATATATTTAGGTAATGACTGAACATGAATTAGGCTACCATAACCAAACATTATAGAGTGCTGGGGAAATGCAGGGATTAGCGATAACTTCAATACTGAGTACATATTTAACGGGGAATTGATAGACATTGACAAACAAAGTGCACACAATTGACACAATGAATGTGCACAAATTGTCGGGAGTCAGTAGAGAGAGACGTGCCTATAGCACATCTTCGCCACACAAGGTATCGACAGTCAGGGTTGTAAAACAAACCTCTCTTTGTCCACCTACACAGCACTTTGCACAGTGTCTACCAGATGGCGGTTCTTTATCAAGGTGTGACTAACATTGGCTGAACAGTAACGAAACACAAAGCACTTTAACACAAGAATATGGGAGGGTTCCATGTAAAAGTTAGGGGTGTCTAGTGTCTTCAATGTCATACCAAGCAACAATATTTGAATTTACATTGTCTTATTAAAGAGATAAGTCCTCATCTGAACTTAAATGTAATATTTGCATTTATATGGAACATTGATTGGTGTATTGTTGGCCATTACTTTCTTTGGCCATCATTTACCAACATTTATATTCATTTAAAAAAATCTTTGGGGAATCCTTATCCTACCCAATCAGACAACAGGATATTGTAGAGTTACATGGCTGTTTGATGCAATGTAACCTAACATAGCAGGCGTAGAAGACACGCCTGAGCGGAGTTCCCACATCCGGTTTTCATTGGCAAAGGAAGCTAGATTGAAGATAGCTGTGTCCCTGAAAACCGGATGCATCCGGTTATTGGCAACTCCGCTAAGGGTAGATGCAATGGCACCACTCCCAGTAAATTATCAGGGTGTTGGGAGGTAGGGATAGGATTAGTGGTAGTTGCCAACTGTGACTGGTTGGGTCCTCTGTAAGCAAATGATTGCGATGGGGAGTGATTACTGGATTTACCAGAAGGGAAGCAAATATTATCTGGGAGAGAAAAAAGGGAAATGTTTGCCAATTGATCCATATTGCAGGAAAATTATACACAAAAATAAACAAAAATTGTACAAAATTAAACCTAGCAAGCATATCAAATGTGACAATGTTTAGGAAAACAAATGAGGTTACACTCAGTGATAAAATGAATAAAAATGAAATAAATACTTAAGGAGTGGAGTACCTGTAGCTTGAAAGAAATGCCCCCTGGATAGATTTTTCACTTTCATTATAATACCAGTATGTAAAATGTGTGCATCCGCCATAAAATATAATTGTGCACTTTTGTTAGATACAATGCCTTGGAAAACTGGTAAATCCATTTGATTGACACTCTGTTCTCATATTTATCACTTGATCCATACTTTATATCATATTTGTCACTTCATCCCTACCTATATGTACATATCTACCTCAATTACCTCGTACCCCTGCACATTGACTTAGTACTGGTACCCCGTGTATATAGCCAAGTTATTGTTACTCATTGTGTATTTATTCCTCATGTTAAAATGTTTATATTATTTCTCTTTTTTTTCTTTCTGCATTGTTGGGAAGGGCTGTAAGTAAGCATTTCACCTCTTGTTTACGAAGCATGTGACAAATACAATTTGATTTGATTTGATTACTAGAAGTCACACCACACAATGTGCAGGGGTAAAAGGCTTACTGGCAATTAATATTGAATGACGCCAAACTTGGAGGTGTGGTGCATGTGGTATTCATATCCTCGAGTAGTATATCATGTGGGGGTATTATTGCAAGATTCAATCTAAAATGAGCAACTGTTGACAAATCATCAACTCCCAGGCAACCAGTGGTTGCTTACACACTTTCCCACTCAGTTGGTATGGTACAGACCAAGACCTACATCGACTAACACTGAATTGCAGCATATTGACTTTTCTCCTTTTCGGGGCCTCATGTGGACCACTGGATGAAATGCATACATAAAAGGCTTGTGTTTTGGACCTAGCTGCATGCATATCTCAAGTTTTCCCTACAGTTCTACAGACATCGTGTGTGCAACAAGACCAGCTCTAGATAAGGTCAGAGGTCATCACGTACTGCCTACCTACTTCTGCTAAACTCCTGATTCTGCATGTTGCAAAATAGGCCTACATTTCATGCATTTTGTGACGTATTAATTACTTTAAATAACAAATAGTTAATTATCTATAAAGCATAAAATAATTATACAATTTGACAAATGTACTAGGCTATAAATAAAAAATACAATTTGTGCCACTTTGAAATTGAATGGAAAAACTCCTCCTGCTCCAGTACTCCACTACTCCCATTATCTGGGTGTGTATATTGGGCCCCATGTCTTATAAGAGTTGAATATTAGAGGGCTGCCAGACACCCAGCTGGCCTGTGGAGACAACCCGCCCCTGGAGAGACAGAGCCAGGGGTTCGACACAGGAGGAGGAGGAGACAGCAAGTCCCTGGCCTACAACAACCAGATACAGGAAGTGACATCAGAACCCAGTATAGGGGAAGGTCAACTGCAAAAGGACAAGGAGGCAGGCCTCCGAGGTAACCAGGAGACGTCTGCAGCGCGGAGGAGGGGGGCCGACGGAGAATGGAGGGCAAGGTGTGTGTGGGGAATGGTGGGATGTCATTTTGGATTTTGTTAAATTCGGGGGGGTTTCTCATCAGGTTCTGAAAAATCTATTATTTCTGTTCAAGTTTTTTGATAATAAGACCGAAGAGGCATTAACTGCCAGTTAATCATACAGTGCAAAACAGTTCCTATGTGCTTCCGTGAACAAAGAAAATAAAGTATCCAAAAAAAGACTTAGGCTACTTCTCAGGAGTTCCCACCTTTGTAGTTATAGTATCTATTGACACATGCTAAATATAATTTGGCACTCTGCGTCAGTTGAGCGATACAGTCTACCACTAAAGCCTGATGAGTAAAATGAGATGCATGTCTTGTCCAACAATGCATGGTCTTGGCTTCCTGAAGGGTTAAATAGAAAGCCGGCTTGGGTGACCCTATGTTATTACTGTAGCAACCTGAGCCTTTGTGAATAGCGGAGTTGAAGGCTCACACATGAATAGGGACTTAAGAACCATTGTACTATGCTAAACATACCTAAATTCAAGTGTGTGTATGCGTGCACGTACTTTACGAGTATATGCATGTGTGTGTTTACGTGTGTGTGCGTGTGCGTGTGTGTGCGAGTGTATGCATACTTGTGTGTGTGTTTCAATCCATATTTCTAGGTAGAGCAGGTGTGTGTCTGGAGGAGCGTTACCTCAGTGGGAGCAGGAGGAGGTCATCCCTCAGGGTGGTGTTGTTACTACCGTACCCAGAGAGGGAGAGGGACAAGCGGACAGAGGAGCCCAGGGCCCTTCTTTTTCTTTGGAGGAGGGAACAGGGCCTCCATGTGAGTCACTCCCCTATACCAATGACGTGACATTTTAAAACAATTCAACATAGGCCTTGATTAAATCTTTTGAGTATTGACATTTATTTGTAATTTAGAGTAACCTCCTATTGTGAGAGCAGAGGATGGCAACGGATCTACGACAAGACTAGAGGACTTTAAACTCAAGTGGTGCGAGACCAAATCCCCAGTCACCTACTACAATTTCAAAGGTAGCTGTACTATACAAGCTCATATGGTTCACCCCTCAGAGGTATCAATACAGTGATGGTTACATTACATTTTAATTCAGTCTTGATTATTTCTAAATAAGCACCAAATATAGATCTGTGTTCAGTGTTTGAAATGTTGTTTCTTTTGTGGAGGACAACAATATGAAGGAGAATGGTTTTGAATATGTCATCATGTTGTAGGTCAGCGTTTCCCAAACTCTGTCCTCGGCACCCCAAGGGGTGCACTTTTTGGTTTTTGCCATAACACTACACAGCTGATTCAAATGATCAAAGCTTGATGATTAGTTAATTAAATCAGCTGTTCAGTGCTAGGTAAAAACCAAAACGTGCACCCCTTGGGGTCCCGAGGACAATGTTTGGGAAACCCTGTTTCTGTACCAGATCCCCAACAACAAGGTGCTGACCACTAAGATCGTCATCCTTAGCAACCTAAGGGAGTATGATTGCATCAGCAGCAAGGTCAACCACGGTCGAGGACTGAGGTGAGACATCCGAGACAAAGAAGGTGCATAGGTCTCTCAAAGTGCATTCAAAGATATAGTTTGATAGGTTTTACTTTCAGAAAGACATATGCCACAATTGCACACTATGTCAGTTTACATTAAAGAAAACTGAATTGCAGTGCAGCTTACATAAAATAAAGAGCATTAACATGATTAATAGAGAGACCCGTTAATAAAAACATTTCAATTTGAAAAACGACCCCATCTATTGTTCATTTAAAAGCATAACTAATGATGGTATTGGGCTTTTTTTGTAGTGTTTTTTTATTGTTTACATTTTTTGTTTCAAAATATGGTTTAATAAGATGCCTAGAAACTGCTTCTCCTAAATAAATCTCAGATCACGCTTGTAGGCGATGTCATGGCGTTCTTAGATAGCTAAGCTTGTGCAGAAACACGTCATTGGGTCTAACTGTTGTGTCGCGCCGAACTCTACATGTGCAGGCCGTCAAATCAAAGGCACTCCTTAGATATAAAGTCATTTTGATATGAAAACATGTCAGTTTGTCACTTTCACAAGGTTGGAGTAATAGGTTGTGCCTATAGATATTGAGCAAATGAACAACTAAGGACACCATTTTCACTTCTCTCATTTTCACCCCAAACCCCGGTCTGTCGAGTCTGCTTCGTGAGGCGGCGTTTCCGGAAGTATTAGCCTGTTGGGCCTCCGGGTTTGAAAACTCTGTGGTATAGTCCAGTAATATACTGTATCTCTATAGAGTAGTCACTGTCCTATATTAACTTATAGTGTTAGTTAAAATGTAAACTTTTTTTTCCACTTCCCTAGGGTGTCGTCTTTCCTAGAACCGTTTTTAAATCCAGTATTGAAAATAAGATAACACTTTGAAAAAATTGACTATCCCTTTAAGTAAGACAGTTTAACCTCCTTTCATCGAACAGCTGCTTCTGTGCCTTGTAGGAGGTTGAACATTTAGGAGTTTTTCCCCACCACCTTCCGCATGGACGTGAGGGATGAGAGAGAGGTTTTCTTTGCCCAGCGGGAAGGTAAAAATGGGCCCAAGTCAAATACAACGCTTCCAGTTACATGATGACACACCAATACCTGTCACGATTCTGCCGAGGCTGCTCCTCCTCCTTGCTCGGGCAGGCTTCGGCGTTCGTCGTCCCCGGAGTACTAGCTGCTGCCGGTCGATGTTATCGGTGTCTGTCTAGTTTTGTCTGTATTGTTTACACCTGTTCCACATTATGTTTGATTGTTGCCCTATAATTACCCCTGTCTCTCATCGGGATCTTGTGTGTGATTGTTTCCCTTCACGTATGTCGTTTGTGAGCGGGTTATTTCCTCCCTGTGTGGAGTTATTCTGTGTTCATCTTTTCAGTATCGGATTAAAGTACGTTTCCGAGAGTTCCGTGTCCTGCGCCTGACTTCTTCAACCGCATCTCACTGACAGTCATGACAGAATCACACACCACAACATGGAGTCAGCAGGAGCAACGGCACCGACCGGATCACTCGAGGAGCGCGTCCTACAACAGGCAGCTATGCTTCAAGATCTTGGTGCCGCCATGGAAAGGGTGATGAACACCTTGGGACGATGGGAGAGAGGAGGTTTGCCCACACCTCCTCCAACGATACCACCACCGTCGGCCACTCCTATCGTCTCACATCAGGAGTCCAGTGGGATTCGGCTCTCGCTCCCGAGGGCTTATGATGGCACCGCAGCCGGGTGTCAGGGTTTCCTGCTCCAGGTGGAACTTTACCTGGCAACCATTCACCCGGCACCCTCGGGATACGAGAGCGTGTCCGCCCTCATCTCCTGTCTGTCCGGCAAGGCACTGGAGTGGGCCAACGCCGAGTGGGGAGGAATAGACGCCGCTACTGTGAACTATGCAGAGTTCACCCGCCGCTTCAGGGCGGTGTTCGATCATCCCCCGGAGGGGAAGGCGGCGGGTGAGCGTCTGTTCCACCTCAGACAGGGGAGGAGGAGCGCGCAGGAACTTCCGGACTCTGGCTGCCAATTCGGGATGGAATGAGAGGGCCCTCATCGACCACTACAGGTGTAGCTTAAGAGAGGACGTTCGTCGAGAGTTGGCCTGCAGGGACACCAACCTAAGCTTCGATTAGCTGGTGGAAATGTCGATTCGCCTGGATACCCTGTTGGCTACCCACGGACGTCCGGTGCTGGGGCCAACATTCCATCCCCCAGCACTTCCGAGCCGAGCCTTATGGAGCTCAGGGGTGCTGGTAGTAGGGAGGCCAGGAGGGAGGCTGTCCCCTGCACCAACTGTGGCCGCCGAGGACACACGGCGGTTCGGTGCTGGGGAGGGTCTCCTCGGATTCGAGGCAGCAGGCAACGCACTGATGAGTCATTCCAGGTGAATAAGGCCCCAACTCACCCAGAGCTCTCTGTTGTTCATATGTGTATTCAAGTTGTGTTTCCAGAGGTTTCTTCTTACTCCCAGCATAAGGCGCTAGTCGATTCAGGCGCAGCTGGGAATTTTATCGATCGCCATTTCTCATATAAGTTAGGAATCCCTATATTACCAGTCGATGTGCCCTTCCCTATCCATGCCCTAGATAGCCGGCCTTTGGGGTCGGGATTGATTAGGGAAGTCACAGCGCCACTGAAGATGAAAACGCAGAAGGGTCATGTGGAGACTATACAGTTGTATTTAATTGACTCTCCTGCGTTTCCTGTGGTGTTGGGGCTTCCCTGGTTAACATCTCATGACCCCAACATTTCAAGGCAACAGAGTGCTTTCAAGGGATGGTCTGATCAGTGTGTGGGGCGGTGTGTAGGTGTTTCCGTAGGGGCAACGACAGTGGAAAGTCCGAACCAAATGTCCACAATGCACATTCCTCCTGAGTATGCCGATTTGGCACGCGCCTTCTGTAAGAAGAAGGCGACTCAATTACCACCTCATCGACAGGGGGATTGTGCGATAGACCTCCAGGTTGGCGCTGCGCTCCCTTGTAGCTATGTGTATCCTCTGTCTCAGGAGGAGACGGCTGCTATGGAGACATACGTCACCGAATCCTTGAGACAGGGATACATACGGCCGTCCACTTCCCCTGCGTCCTCGAGTTAATTTTTTGTGAAGAAGAAGGATGGGGGTTTACGCCCGTGTATTGATTACCGTGGTCTCAATCAGATCACTATTAAATACAGCTATCCTCTCCCTCTGATTGCTAGTATGACGGAGTCATTACACGGGGCGCGCTTCTTCACAAAATTGGATCTCAGGAGCGCTTACAACTTGGTGCCCATTCGGGAAGGAGATGAGTGGAAGACAGCATTCAGTACCACCTCGGGTCACTATGAGTACCTCGTCATGCCATACGGTCTAATGAATGCTCCTTCAGTCTTCCAATCATTTGTGGACGAGATTTTCTGGGATTTGCATGGACAGGGGGTAGTGGTGTATATTGATGACATTCTGATATACTCCGCTACACGTACCGAGCATGTGTCCCTGGTACGTCGGGTGCTGGGTAGACTGTTGGAGCATGACCTGTATGTGAAGGCAGAGAAATGTCTGTTTTTCCAGGAGTCCATCTCCTTCCTGGGACACCGGTTGTCTGCGTCAGGGGTGGAGATGGAGATTGACCGCGTTTCAGCCGTGCGTAATTGGCAGACTCCCACTACGGTAAAGGAGGTGCAGCGTTTTTTGGGTTTTGCCAATTACTACCGGAGGTTTATCCGGGGTTTTGGACAGGTAGCAGCTCCCATTACCTCCCTGCTAAAGGGGGGCCCAGTGCGTTTGCAGTGGTCGGCTGAGGCGGACAGGGCGTTTAGTCATTTGAAGGACCTGTTCACCTCGGCTCCGGTGCTGGCACATCCGGATCCCTCTTTGGCGTTCCAAGTTGAGGTGGATGCGTCCGAGGCGGGGATCGGTGCTATACTGTCTCAGCGCTCGGGCACGCCTCCAAAACTCCGCCCCTGTGCTTTCTATTCCAAGAAGCTCAGTCCGGCGGAACGCAATTATGACGTGGGGGACAGGGAGCTGCTAGCGTTGGTCCACGCCCTGAAGGTGTGGAGACATTGGCTTGAGGGGGCTAACCACCCTTTTCTCATTCTGACTGACCATCGTAACCTGGAGTACATCCGGGCATCGAAGAGACTGAACCCTCGTCAGGCTAGGTGGGCCATGTTTCTTGCCCGGTTTGTATTTAAGATCACTATTATCCCAGGGTCACAGAACGTTAAGGCAGACGCCCTGTCCCGACGATATGACACAGAGGAGAGGTCCATTGAGCCCACTCCCATACTACCGGAGTCTTGTCTAGTGGCACCGGTGGTGTGGGAGGTCGACACGGAAATCGAGCGGGCGTTACGTACCGCCCCTACTCCCCCAGAGTGTCCAGAGGGACGGAGGTACGTGCCGCTCGAGGTCCGTGACCGACTGATTTATTGGGCTCACACGTCACCCTCCTCTGGTCATCCTGGTATTGGTCGGACGGTGCACTGTCTTAGCGGGAAGTACTGGTGGCCCACCTTAGCCAGGGACGTGAGGGTTTACGTTTCTTCCTGCTCGGTGTGCGCCCAGTGTAAGGCGCCTAGCCACCTGCCCAGAGGGAAGTTACAACCTCTACCCGTTCCACAACGGCCGTGGTCTCACCTGTCGATGGATTTTGTCACAGACCTTCCCCCCTCCCAGGGGAATACCACGATCTTGGTCGTTGTGGATCGGTTTTCTAAGGCCTGCCGTCTCATCCCTATGCCAGGTCTTCCTACAGCCCTACAAACGGCCGAAGCCCTGTTTACTCACGTTTTCCGGCACTACGGGGTGCCTGAGGATATAGTGTCTGATCGGGGTCCCCAGTTCACCTCTAGAGTGTGGAGGGCGTTTATGGAACGTTTGGGGGTCTCGATCAGCCTTACCTCGGGTTTTCACCCTGAGAGTAATGGGCAGGTGGAGAGAGTAAACCAAGATGTGGGTAGGTTTCTGAGGTCCTATTGCCAGGACCGGCAGGAGGAGTGGTCGGGGTATATTCCCTGGGCAGAGATAGCCCAAAACTCACTCCGCCACTCCTCCACTAATCTTACGCCTTTCCAGTGTGTGTTGGGCTATCAGCCGGTTCTGGCACCCTGGCATCAAAGCCAGATTGAGGCTCCTGCGGTGGATGAATGGTTTCGGCGCTCGGAGGAGACATGGAACGCGGCGCATGTCCATCTGCAGCGGGCCATCAGACGGCAGAAGGCGAGCGCCGATCGCCACCGCAGTGAGGGTCCGGTTTATGCACCTGGAGATCGGGTCTGGCTCTCGACCAGAAACCTGCCCCTTCACCTGCCCTGCCGGAAGCTGGGTCGGCGGTTTGTGGGGCCATTTAAAGTCCTGAGGAGATTGAACGAGGTATGTTATAGGTTAAAACTGCCTATTAATTATCGCATTAACCCCTCGTTCCATGTGTCTCTCCTCAGGCCGGTGGTAGCTGGTCCACTCCAGGAGAATGAGGTACGAGAGGCCCCTCTGCCCCCACTAGACATCGAAGGGGCTCCGGCATACTCAGTCCGTTCCATCGTGGATTCAAGGCGTCGGATGGGGGGTATGCAGTATCTCGTGGAGTGGGAGGGGTACGGTCCGGAGGAACGGTGCTGGGTCCCTAGGAGGGACATCCTAGATCCCTCCCTGTTGACAGAGTTCCACCGGAGTCATCCGACTCGCCCTGCTCCACGTCCTCCTGGCCGTCGGTGCACGGCTGGAGCCGCGCGTCAAGGGGGGGGGGGGGGGGGGGGGGGTACTGTCACGGATTCTGCCGAGGCTGCTCCTCCTCCTTGCTCGGGCAGGCTTCGGCGTTCGTCGTCCCCGGAGTACTAGCTGCTGCCGATCGATGTTATCGGTGTCTGTCTAGTTTTGTCTGTATTGTTTACACCTGTTCCACATTATGTTTGATTGTTGCCCTATAATTACCCCTGTCTCTCATCGGGATCTTGTGTGTGATTGTTTCCCTTCACATATGTCGTTTGTGAGCGGGTTATTTCCTCCCTGTGTGGAGTTATTCTGTGTTCATCTTTTCAGTATCGGATTAAAGTACGTTTCCGAGAGTTCCGTGTCCTGCGCCTGATTTCTTCAACCGCATCTCACTGACAGTTGTGACAATACCAGCACAGTACAATACAGAACTAGATTCTGTAGGGGGCTAGAGTTGAAAAAGGAACTTGTGCTTCATGGAAGAGACAATGAAAGCAAACTAAAAAAAAAAATCATGCGTAACTGACAGATTTGAGTGACACAATAGTCGTCCTTCTGATTTTAATTGATTATTAATTATTGACTTTTATGTTGGAAAGTTACGGTACATAGAGTACAGCACTCCAGTTCCCAGCAGGCTAGTGTGATAAAATCACAAGAGAAACCTGCTCTGTTGGCATAGAGACATGTCGGGCAGAGGGCAGGTCTGAGACACAGAGAGAGCTACACATGGAGAAGCCATGACACCCACAGTCCTTTGAACAGTCCCTACCGCCTCGCCTCAACAGGATTTCAACCATTATACCTCTCCTCATTTCAAACCTGTTTATTCCACCTTCTGCAGTTAGAAGGTTTGTTAGAGAGACAGAGGGATTGAAGAAGAAACCATGACACAGTCAGTTCTCCCACTTAACACCAATAACACAAATAGACTTATGACTCAGCTGTTGTAGAAGAAGTTGCAGTACAACTTGCAACATGCATCATCATGTTTTTTCATAAAAGTAGAAACATACATGCAGTTAATAGTAACTTAATTAAAGTTAAGTTACAAGGATGACAGTGATACATCTGCACATTGTTATCAACTGAAACAGCATATCTCAAGACTACAGCATAATGACAACAATCAGGTAAAATATAACAATATAACAAAGTAAACAAATCCAAAGATACTGTACCACAATCTGTGTGAGATCTCCATGTGATTGAGTGAGCCAGTGAGATATACTGCCTGGAGAACAACAGAACAGAGCTGCATTTGCCAGTGCTCTTCACAGTGTGCGTCTCTAATACTGACATTTTTTTAATATGTCTGCTTTGTGACATAAATAAGTAATTATCATGACATATAGGTAATGTAGTCAGCATAGGTGCTATTACTAATTCATCAGCATAGTTGACATATAACTACAACGGTTACTATTGAGATATTCTAATAAGATATTCAAAAAAGTCACACATCTGACTTATCTTGTTGCAGGCGCGTGGGAATAATGCGATAACGTCAAAGAAAAGAGAAACCCACACACTGCTCTTGCTCATATCAGTTGTTTTATTCAAGCTTACGTGAGATATTCTAAAAAGACCATTGCGTTGCTACTATGTGATGAGGAGATGAGCGTGTGGATCTGTAAACCCACAGGCCTTAAGCAGGGGTGGGGCATCTTCCTCCTGAGGAGCCAGGAAGACATCTCGGCCTTTAGACTCAAGCTGCAGAACATTGCAAAGAGTCAGTGCAACAGGAAGCTGCCTTTTCGCCTGCCCCAGGCATGCATCGTGCAGCGGTGGGTGAACACTAGGGCTGTGAACGCTACTCCATTAGGACGTTCAGTACTGTGTCTGCCATAAGGAATTGCAGATGATATGATCATATCATAGAAATAGATAGAGGACATCTTTGTATCTGAGCCGTTATAGTGTCTGTGACAGCATGGACAGCGTCATTAAGGCAATCTCCAATTTGAAGTAGTTCATTTTCTTCTTCACGATTGGCTGATCCCTCCTGATGACCCGGTTGAACATGACTCCAGCAGGGTCACAAGGAGGGATCAGCCAAGGAAGTTGGAAGACCCACCCAGTTGACTACATTAAAATGGTGGAAGTCCTTAATGCCGCATCCCATGCTGATATGGCCTTTTTGACAACTAGAGGTCTCTATCATTTTCTATGGATCATATACATTCTATAATTTTTATTTAATTCAATGTGGTTATACTGTAGTACTCCGCAGCGGCCACGCAGCTTGTATAAACCAAATTTAGAAAAGTGTTTGAAAATTCTCCATGAATTGCAAAGCTGCCAGTGTCAACCAGAATCGGATATGTTATTCCATTTCTTACCAACAGAGGGAATACAAGATCTGTTTTTAAAAGAGATGTACTGTAGATACAACGCTTTGGGCCTGTATTCAGAAAGAGTCAGAGTATGAGTGCTGGTCTAGGATCAGTTTTGCTTATAGATCATAGTGAATAAGATTATATGGACTGGCGTGGATTAGAATGTATAATAACTAATGTTTCCTCAGGTATGTCCAGAACACTCTGCTCCTGAAGGTGAGAAAGTTTGACGTGTGCTTCTACTTCCTCATTGTCTGCACCTCACCCTACATGGTGTTCTTTCGCCATGGTTACGTACGCTTCCTGTGACCTTTATGACCCCAACTCCCACAACCTCGCTTCCCATTTTACCAATAAGGTGAGTAGAAAAAGGATGCTTCTCTTGCTCAGCTTGCAAAATTATTTTGCATCCCTTGACCTGCAAGTTTAGTAATATAAGCTGAGTATCACTATTTCAGAATCAGGTTGTCAACAGATGCATCGCCATAGGATACTGCATGAAAATAGACCAGAAACCAGGTCATAAAATAATGGTACCAGTCCAGTTTCAAACTTGGCCCTGTAACAACTCTCTCTCTGGCCAATTCATGTGTATCCTGGTCCCCCTGCTGTACATGCAGAAGAAGAACCCTCTGTACAGTGTGCTGAAGGAGGAGACCGTCTGGTCCATGGACTGATTTAACACCTACATCAATGACAAGCTCAGGGTTGACAAGGGCCTGCCTAGGGACTGGGTGCTTGGAACTTTCATGTGAGTTGCTTTATACCATGATTAAGTTAACCCCTCAGTGACAAATTATGAAAGCATCATTGTTGTTATGGTTAAGTGATTAACTGTACATTATTGACTTTTGGAAGATTTGTGTGATTTTACTCCTGGGAGAGACTACAGACTACATCCTCTCCACCCACACCTTTGTGTGTGTGTGTGTGTGTGTGTGTGTGTGTGTGTGTGTGTGTGTGTGTGTGTGTGTGTGTGTGTGTGTGTGTGTGTGTGTGTGTGTGTGTGTGTGTGTGTGTGTGTGTGTGTGTGTGTGTGTGTGTGTGTGTGTGTGTGTGTGTGTGTGTGTGTGTGTGTGTGTGTGTGTGTGTGTGTGTGTGTGTGTCTGTCTGTCTGTCTGTCTGTCTGTCTGTCTGTCTGTCTGTCTGTCTGTCTGTCTGTCTGTCTGTCTGTCTGTCTGTCTGTCTGTCTGTCTGTCTGTCTGTCTGTCTGTCTGTCTGTCTGTCTGTCTGTCTGTCTGTCTGTCTGTCTGTCTGTCTGTCTGTCTGTCTGTCTGTCTGTCTGTCCCTTGCCCTGTGTCTGTTTTCCATTCATTAGAAGTGAATGCAGCAGATCATGATCCAGTGTTTCTTCAATGTGAAAGCCAAGCTAGATCGTGAACTGGGGTACTTTGACCTGATTGGCTCACTTCATGATTGGTTTTTAATGTGTGGGTTTCAATGTATTAGTGAGCGGTTGGTCAAATTAACAGCTGATGTGCTTGCTGTGTCTTGGTCTGTCCTAATCTAGGTGTGGCTGTTGGAGATGAACTGTAACTTAGCCCACCACACCAACTGTAAGGTCCTGAAGGAAGTGATTCCCAGTACTGTTGTGGAGACTTTGGGTGAGCACACACTACCATAACCAGTTCTGTTGGATTATATAACCAAAAATATTTATCTTCGAATGCAGCTGATCTCAGAAATAAACTCAGTTTGGAAATACTTTGTCTTTGTAATTCAAGATAGCGAGATGATTTGTTGATGTGTCCCCAGTTCCCCTTTAATTTGTTAGTTTGTCCGTGTGTGGCTGCCCTCTGTTTTTTTATTGGAGCGTTGAAAATAGCCTGATGTGGGATAGCTACCACCCAGCTGTTGGTTATTCAGGCCTTACTGCCTTATGCCTTATCTCCTGCATGTCTGACTCTGGAGATCTTCAGCAAATGTCACTGTGGGCTGAAGCTGCTGCCACTGGCCAGTAAAAGGGACTTTGTGCTACTGTATGATGGGGAGACTCTGCCCCTGTCCCTGTTCTCAACCACAGGAGCAAAACAGCAGTACCCTTCCAAGCCCAGCACTCAAAGAATGCCTCCACCCAGAAGCTTTCCACCACCAGCAGGACTCAGAAGGCCGAGTCTGTAGCATCAGTGTCTGGAGAGAAGTCAGTGTGGAAACACAGTTTATCCTATAGCCATGAAGGCTGTCTCTGAATCCCTGACCGCCATGATACCACCCAAACCCCCGCCGCCGACCCTCCTGTCCCTGTCACTACACACAATGATCCTGTAGTGTCGAGTCAATGTTGCCAATTATTGCTGCTAAACAAAGGAGTCCGCCCATACTGAACTTTGATCATAAGTTTTATTCATATCACAAGATTTCAGCATAAGTTTACGGATGTCATGATCACCCGGAGAGCAGTGTCCTCCAAATTACAATGTCTGCTCTGCCGTTTTTTGTCTCTAGCCTATACTTATAAGATATACAAAAATATGGGTGGCTCCCTCTACTGTCCAATCACCTGTCTCCAACGAACAGGGTGCCTCTCAGGTTCCACTTAAAACCTTATCCAAGTCATAATTCTTCATATACTACATTCCCCCCTTCGAGACTAACTAAAAGTCTCGAAAACAAAAAGAATGGGATTATGACAAGTAACAATTTATCTTATTGAGTATCTTTAACAATAAACAAAAAACACTTTTCTCTGGAGTGTAAATACCTTTCTATGAAATATGAACAAATCTTTATGGAGTGTGAATACATTACTATGAAATATGAACAAATCTTTATGGAGTGTGAGAGCGAAAAACCTGTCTGGCAGCCTTCTTTCCAAATATCCATCCATCAATCAAGACAGTAAAATTCTCTCACGGCCCCTCTGCCAGAGGCAACCACCTAGGTACTCCAGATCAATTCATAAATCTTTATCAATGCATTTGAAACTATGATGCAATTAAATACACATGAAAGCCCCTGCAAACAAAATACTATCCAAAAAATATCCACACTAAGGCTGGTCGACCCATCGGACCCCACGGTGGATTATCTCTATCCCTGCCTAGACTCCATGTCCCTAAGCATTCACGAAATAAACAAAAACATCTAAGATCCCCACATGTATTCAATAACATCAAATATCATTCTACAAAATTAATACAGAAAGAATATGACACAAATTATGTATTACACATGCAAATATGGTCTATATTTCATTGCAGACACTGGAATGTAGTCCCCTACATTTTTTGTAACCGTATTGGTGCTTTTAAATTTGTTTTATCTTTAGTTCACCCTTTAAGGGGTGTTTTTTTGGGTTAGTTTTTTCATTTTTTCCCGGGGGGGGAGCAGAAGCAAAGGTACTTTTCAAACAACAAAAACCCCATTCTAGTACCAAAAAGGAAGAATACTGCTTTGTGTTAACACATTGGTTTTGTTTGACCAAAAGTTCCTTTTTAAAGGGTTTTTAGCCCAATTTCTAAAATTGTTTTTTCAGCAGCAGACTATGGTGTTGTTGCTAACTAAATAAATGGGGGTTTCTATTTTTTAAAATTGAACCCTTTTCACAAAATTCGAAAGGTAATTTAAATTTTTTTTTGGGGGGTTTATAATTTTTTTTTTTAAAAAAGGTTTTAAAAAAAACTTTTTTAAGGGGCCCTCTCTTACCCAGAGCATTTCATCCGATTTTCTCAATTACCACACCCTTAAACCCCCGGCCTCCCCTTTTTCCCCGACGGCTCAAAACCCCCCCCAACCCTTTCTCCCCCAAAAAGGGTTTCCTTTTGGAAAAAAAAAACCCATTTCCAGGAGCTTTAAACGGTTTGTCCCAAAAAGCATTTTCCCACCTATTGAAATTATTATTCCTGGGTTAGGAAACATGGTTTAAACAAAACACGTACCCATGGGGGGCCCCCTTTGGTTTGCCCCCCCGGGGTTGGGGCGGGGGGTGGACGGAAAAAATTTCCCTGGACTTTTTTTTTCCCCCCATTTTTTCTCTAAGAACCACTTCAGTCCCAGCCTTTAATTTACCCCCTTTTCCCCCCGGGCCCGGAGGTTTAAAAAGGGGGGTTTTTTCTGGGTCCCCCCCCCGTTTTGGGGTTCCCCCTTCCAATTTTGACCATTTTCCCCCCCTTTCTTTCCATTTTTTTTTGACCTAACCCTCCCACCCCCCCCCCCCAAAGGGGAATAGCCTCTTTTAAAATTGTCTTTTTTTAGAACCTTCGGGTTGCCCAAATACTTTTTTCCTTTTTTTTTCCCCCCCCCCCTTTTCTTTTTCCCTGTTTTTTGGGGCCCCCAAAAACCTTCCTTTTTTTCCCCCAAAATTTTTCCCCCAAACCCCCTCTGCCTCCTTTCCCTAAATTTGTTCTGTCCCCCCCTTTTTTCCCCTTTGGCACTTTTATTCGTGCCCCTTTTCCTCCGCGGGGCCCCCCCAGGTGGCTTGAGACCACGGAGCCCGGCCCCGGGGCGGGGAGGGTAAAAAAAAAAACCCCCCCGCGGTTTTTTCATCCCCCCCCTTTTTTTTCCCCGTTTCTGGGCTAAGGCATTTTTTAAAATCCAAAGCTTCCCCAAACCCTAGGAAGTTTTCCCTTTCCCCCCTTTAAAATCCTAAAAAAGGGCCCCCCCCCCTCTTTCGGGGGGGCTTGCAAATTAAAAAGGGGTTAGTTTCGATCCTGTTGTTAAAGCAATGCCCGGGGCCTTTTCCCACACCCCCCTTACCCATTTGAACCCCCCTTTTCCCCAGATAAAATCCGGGGACGGGTGGGCCCCCCCCCCCGGGTTGACCCACCCCCTTTTTCCCCAGCCCCTTTGGGTTTTTCCCCTCCCACCTCTTAAAAATTCCTTTCCCGGGCCTGTCCCTTCCTTAAAAGGGAAATTCTCACTTTCAAAAAAAAACCCCCCCACTGTGTCAAAAACTCAATTTCCCTTTTCCAAAAAATTTTGGGGGGGGTTTCTTTGCCAACTCCGTTTTCCTTAGTAAATTTTTCCAACCCCTTCGACGGTAAAATGAGATTCTTTCTGTTGGGACTGCCCGTTTCTCCCCCTCCGGTTTTTTAACTCTGGGGCCTTTTCTTGAAACGCCCCTTTTTCCCCCCTTCCCAGTGGGCTCCCCCCTTCCTCCGGTTGGGCCCCTAGGCTTGGGGGGGCCCCAAAAGGGGACCAGTGCTTAGGGTCCCCGGGGTTTCGGCCCTTCCTTTTCTAAAAAAATTTTGGTTTGCATTCCTCACGGGCCCTTTTATAACCTCGTGGTCCCTTTTTTCCCCCCTTCCCCCCCTTTAAAAAGGGGGCCAATTGCATGGGGAAAAGTTGGTAGGTCCCCCAAAAAAAAGGGCAAAAAATTTTTTTTCCCCCGGGGAAGGAAGGGCCCGTTTTTTCCCCTCCCGAAAAACCCCCCGGGGGCCCCCCCCCGAGGGGGGCCTGGGGAGGCCAAACCCTTCTTTCCCCCAACTGGGGGCGGGAGTTGGGTTAGTTAAAAATTAAGTACACCCTCCTTAAAGGGGCACAGTCCAAAAACCACTTTTCCCCCTGGAACCTTGGGGTTTTGGTGCCCCCCGGGTTTTTTAAAATACAAACCCAAAAAACCGGCCCGTTGGGTTCAATTCCCCCAATTTCCCACGTCCCCCTCCCCGCAACTAGGCCATTGAAACCCCCTTTTAAGCCCTTGTTGTAAAAAAGGGGGGAAGGCCCTCTTATTCGGGCC